AAGATAAAACGAGATACGCTACGTTATGTTCTCACTAGAACAAAATTTGTATTCATTTTTACTATGGGACTATATCGACACCTGAGAGAAAACTTGACATATCTCGGCAGCCAGTTCGAAAACGCCCTATCACAGAAAACTTTCCAAGAACGCCCTACTTCAGAATTTGAAGAACGCCCTATTTCAGAATTTTTTTTGTTTCAAAAACGTCCAATCTCAGAATCAAGAAGTTCTTCAATGAAATTCTGAAATAGGGCATTCTTCAATCATATTTTGAAGTAGGGCGTTCTTGGGAAAGTTTTCTGAGAAAAGGCGTTTTTCGAACTGGCTGCTGAGATAGGGCGGTCTTCCACTCACGTATCGATATGTAAATTGAAAACTTTAAAGCCGTTTCTCTCGAGTTTTTTTTTTTTTTTGAGTTATAACACTATGAAGTAAATGCGCGATATAAGCTTGCTATACAATTGTAACAAGGATGTCAATGAAATTACCTTAGCCACTCCCACCTACATATGAGTTCATTCGTTCGTATATGTATACGTTACAAATCTGAGGAAAAGATCGGCCAAACACTAACACTCTATTATATTATTATGGCTTTATTTACAAAATTTTGAATAAGTTGATGAATTACACTAGCCAACAAAATTGCACTTTTGGCCTTATGAATGACTTATGACAGATGATGTTTACTAATTCGACGACGCTGATTCTAAATATATCCTTATTTGATTTCCAGGCGCTCTTGTTTACGAGTTGTAGCTTTCATCTTTGTACGTTGGAGGTACGCTATTAAGGTCTCTGAAACGCACACATTGTTGGAGCATTTCGAACAGCTATATGGCTGCAACTTCTGCATGGAAGTCTTATAAAAGGAAGTTTTTTTCAACATAAGATCTTAACAAAATTAGATTAACTACACTGCCGGACAAAAGTATTGGCACAGAAAATTTTTTACAATATGTAACAATCAATCTTAAAAATATGGTTCAGACTACAAAAAAAATGTCGTTCATTCTATAAAAAACCTAAAAATATTATTTCTAAACTTTGTGCAAAACTCAATAAACTTTCATGCAAATTTTCAACTTTTTATCAGATTTTTATATTTTTTTATAAATTTTACAACAAAGTGCAAGTTTGAAATAGCTAGGACTTTATAGTTGATTTTTGGAAATGTTTTTCACGCTGATTTTTCCAAATATAAAAAATCTTCGAAAATACTTTGTATGGAAAAAATGCTCGCACACCATGTGTCTAAACTAGAGCTGATAAAAAAATTTCAATCGCAGATTTGAAATCGTCATTAAAAATTAAGGTAGTATTATGTAACATAAACTTATCATCAGAAATGCTGTTGTGTGGTGTGTTTTTAAAAGATGGGCATCAATCGAAATGTTTTGGAAAGGCTTCATTTCCAAACTATATACATGTAGGAGGGCTGCCACCTATTTACAAAGTTAACTTTAATTAAGGAAATTGGTAATAGAAATATGTGTGACAATATGGGTGCCCGATGAGAAGTTTAAAAAGGTTGCAGTTTGAAAATATTTCGAAGAGGGTTGCCACTTATTTAAAAGTAGGATCTGATTAAATTATATACGAGTTATATAAAATATTAAAATATCGGTGTCAAATGAGAGAGTGTTAAAATTTAGAACATATTTGAGGTTCATGAAGGGGTCGCCATCTGTCGCAATAGTTAGAATCAAACTACATATTTTATAAGCTCATATTTGAAATGTTTTTATTGAACTATTATCGAAAATTTTTGTGTAAAAACAGCAATAATTTATATTTTGGTAGAAGTTATAGTTGCTTTTTCGGAGATTACATCTCTTCATCAGCCTTTTTTATCGAGTACACTGGGACATGGATCGGCAACTCCGGCGTTCAAAGCTATTGAGCTAAGTTCGCCGTGTAAACTGGTGTTGCCTTTTCCACTTTTTCATTTAGTCAAGCCAACTACAATCAAGGACAAATATTTTTTCGCTATTTAGACTTCATCATGTGATTGTTGTTATTTTTAGTTAATATTCTATTTTTAGAATATATCGATGGCTGAGTGGAAGATCGACCTATCTCGGCAGCCAGTTCGAAAACGCCCTCGCAAAATCTCGCACAATTTTTCAACAACGCCTCATTTCAGAATTTTATTGAAAAACACATCATATATCATTTATATGTATCACAATGTCAGACGAAAGAGATTTAAGACTTTAGTTTGAAAATACTTTTTAAGAGGGTTGTCAGCTATTTGAAAAGTCAAATTTAGTTAAATATACACAAGTTATATGAAATATTAAAATATCAGTGTCAAGCGAAAGAAAAAGTATTTTTGATTAGGGTTGCCACCTATCATATCTAAAAAATAAAAGAAAGAAGTTTACTCATATTCCATTTATGAACTATTAATGAAATCATAAACTTGGATGGAAACATTTTGTAAAGAAATTATTACGCATTTTCATTAAACCATTTACTACAATATTATCAATCAATCAATAATTTATCAATCAATTATTTTCGTTGATAGCTTCATGTTTTTGTAAAAGAACAGGCTTTAACACCAATTTAAAGAATTTACAAACAAATCTTTTATTTTTATTTTTTTCCTTGTAAAAATTTCCATTTTTTTCACAATACAAACTTAAAATGAAGATATCTTGCGAAAGTTACCTGATCTAGAAAATCGGTATACAGGGCCGTATTTACGACCCTAAATTAAGCTAACGTGTTTCGGCGTTTTTTGTGTCATTTCATAACATGAAATTTTCTTTACAGTGGAAAATAATGGAAATTTAATTGAAAAATAATGGAAATTAAACTAAAGAAAAATAACACGGAAAAAAAAACGAGAAGTGTACAGTTGCGGTCAAAACATTATCACCAAAATTCAAAATGATATTGTTTGCAACTTGTGTTTATTTATTTTTAATAACTTTCATTCAAAACGTAACAGAAACTACATAAGTAAATGTTTCAAAGCTCACAAAAATTAAGTAAAAAAATTTCAAATTTTCATCTAGAATTTTTGGAAAGTTTTCGAGTATACAGTTTTGTAGCCCATTCAATTTAAGTGTAATAAAGTGCAATTTTCAAGAGGCTAACGATTACAGTGATTTTTCAGTTTTTTTTTTTGCCGGGGGTATGAGATTTTTGTCCATATTAAAATAAAATTTGTTGATGCGTTAATACCACTTTATTACACTTAAATTGAATAAGCTATAAAACTAAAAATTCTAGATAAAAAGTTTAAAATTTTTATGCAATTTTTTGAAATTTTATAAATTTGTGTGAAGTTTGTGTAAGCTTTGAAACTTTATTTCTGTGCTTTCTGTTATAGGTCGAAATATTTTAAATGAAAGTAATTAAAAAAAAATTAAATAAACGGCAGTTGCAAACAATAGGTGCATTCGCGTGTTGATAGTTTTTAATAACTATCAAAAATTATCAGGTTTAGCTGTTCTCGTACACAAAATCCAGCAAAGTAGGGGAAATTGAGAGACCAAACTGACATTTCATTTTAATCAGAAGTTTCTAGTTCCTGCTGCAAAAAATTATGGCAGCAAGAAAACAGCTGATCAAAGTCATCGGGATATTTTTTTTATGTATTTTACCGCATAACTTTGGACCACGTTAACCGATTTCGATAATTCTTTTTTCATCGGAAAGTTGGTTCCCCAAGGGTGGTCCCATACTAATTTTGTTTAGATCCGAAAATTGGATCGTAAAAAATTTACGATAATATTAAATTTGTATATGAGAATTGAAGTCGGTTTTGTTTTATGCTTAAAAATTACTTGTTAACTTTAAAATAACCTATTAGAACTGCAAATGTTTCGGTAGAAAGCAAATAATCATTTACTTACTTTTTATCAACAAATTGTTTTAGGCAAACCTTTAATTTATATTCTTTTCATGTTTTCCGTTTTATGCTTTGGTATGTTGTACTAAAAGTTGCAAGTTTTTGCTAGTTTTGCGTTCACGTACTTTTGCAAACATTTATCTCCTTGAGAGAGAATAGAGAAAAATGCATTTCAATTTTGCTGTTGGGAGTTTTCTGCTGGAAGAATACGCGAATACACCTAATATCATTTTGAATTTTGGTGCTTTTTTATCGCAGCTGTACATGTGCACATATTACTCGTTGATAAGACCTTTTTAATCCAAAAAACTGGAATTTTAAAAAGCTTAAAAAATGTTACATTTTTACATGATATATCGATTAGTTCAGCATCATTAGCTAAAACTATGTATAGGTATGTAATGCTTTTGTCTGGTCTGGTGTCGTGACGACCAAACGATATATGTATGGACGTACTACATAAAATGTAAATTAGTCAAGGGCTTTTCTCTCACTTTCAAGTTCAAAAGTCAATAGACGTTGTTTTTGCGAGTAAAAGGACACCATCGACCTCCATGCAGCTATAGCAAATAACTAGTAAAAGTGGTAGGTAGCATTACTGCATTGCTCAGCGAATTCCTCAATAGCTGCCCTTGATTTGTTTTTATGCGGATGCAATGAAATGAAAAAGCTGAATGGTATACGGCAAGCAGCAACTGTTGGGGTTATTTACATGCTATGTAGTCGAATGTACATACATACTCTGGAAGGACTCGTGTAGCGTGAAGGTAGGTTGTGTAGACGATTTAAAGAAAACATGCTGGGAGTGGGCAGTGTAGCTTTTTCCGCAATACAATTAAATGTAAGCTATTGCGGAAGCATAAAGGTAATCAAATAAATATAAAGAAGTAAAAAAAGAAAATATTGTGGGTGGGTGGTGTCATTTTGTTGGCCATAAGGAATAAAGGAAGGAATAATGCGGTGCTGACTACAATTATGACGCATGCTAGATGATCACGCAAATGATAACATCATTGACCTTCAGACTTTTTCATAAATTTTTTGATTGTAACACATATACGTAAAGATACATTGACAATACCAAAAGTATCGCTAATATATGTATGTATGAATGTGAATGATTCGAACTCACTATTGTTGCCATTTTGGAATTCCTCACTTTCAAATTCTTGCTGATCTACACCCGCATATGGGCTCTCGCCGAAGCTACCAAAAGTGCTTGTTGAAGATGGCTGCTCTTCCATGGGCGAAGGTGTACAATATCCAGCAACCACATCCTTCTCATCACTGGCATCACGTTTGGTTTGTTCCTTTGCTGATAGAACTTCGACTCCAGCATCTTCTACATTCTTGTATGCATGTATGGAGGGACGTTTTTGTATAGCAGGCATGGGTGGCGAAGCAGTGGATGATGCTGGTGACGGCGGTAGAGGCACTTTAAAAGCATCATCATCCATATGAAGTTTGGGCGTTGGAGGTTTGGTTGGTGCTGCTGGTATTGGCACATTTGAAGTCTCCTCGTGGCCTTGGCGATTCTGCAAAGTTGGTATTGGTGGTGATGCCACTAATGGAAGTGGTGCATTCGTGGTGCGATTTTGTATTGTAGGTATTGGAGGTGAACCATAAACTGTCGTTGTGGGTGATTGGTTTGGTGTTTGCGCTTGTTTTGTCTCCATATCGTTATCAGCAGTGGTTGAAACTGGAGGCAATGTGTAGTCTATATCCATAGGTATATTCACATCTTTATTGTTTGCGGTATTAGATATGGGCATAGGTACAGATAAATTGAAGGTCCGGCGCTTATTTTCAGCTTCAGATGTATTTGCCTGTGGTTCTTCCGTTTTTAAATTGAAGGTATGACGCTTATCTTCAGCCTCGGATATATTGGTTTTTGGGTCTTCCTTGTTCTCCGAGCTTGGCATGTTAAATGTGCGTCTCTTATCCCTCTCACTATCTTGTTTTTGTGCAGGGATCTCTGTTTCTTCTGGGACACTAGCTGCTACAGTGAAGGTACGACGTTTATCAAAGCTGTCAGTTAAATTACCTTCTTTTAAAGGTGCAACGCTTGCGCTGCCATCAAATGTGCTATTGTGTTCAAAATTTATCTCCCCGACAGTGGATGAATTATTTTCATTGGGGGTCAGAGTTGAATGCACGTTAGCACTAATGGGGGGTTATGGCATCATTTGCTGACTTTGCGACCTGCGCTGGTTTTTTCATCAGCCGTTGATGTTTTTCGAGAACCGCACAAAGCCAATTTTGGCTCACTTGCTGTTGATCTCTTCCGTTCAATTTCGATGCGTTCCGTATATTCGGATTTCTCCAAAAACGGCATACTCTTCGCTGCAGTAGCAGTGGGAGAGCGCGGAAATTGTTTGGATGAGCTTCCCTTGTGCTTGATGGGGAAGCTCGGGGAGGATGCTGAGCTTTTACAGCTACTTGTTGAAGAATTCATATCGTTTGTCAAGTTCAAAGCATTGTGCGAACCCGTTAAAGACTTATTCACCTCTAGTTTACTTTCGGTAGTACAATTTTTTACGTCGTACTCATCAATAGGATTCTGACTGGTATTTGCGGATGTTGTAGCTACAGTTGACTGCGTCATATCGGCAATTGCCTGCGAAGGGGTTCCTGTTATTTCTGTTGTTGAAGTTGGTATTTCGAAACTTTTATTTAGTGGTACAACAATATGAGATGGTGTTGTTTCATACCCTGCCTCATTTTCAAAAATATCGATTGGATCTGTGTTATTTGTTGCCATCTCTGTAGAGTTCACTTGCTGACACTCAAGTTCTGCAGCAGCAGACTTGGTTTCAACCACATTTTCTACACTGGTTGTGTCAGATGGTAATATATTTCCATTGTTAATAGGCAATTCACTGCCTCCAACAATTATTTCGGCAAAACTCACATCCACATCCATAGGCTCGTCGCCAAAAGTGACGTCTAATGGATTGACAGTTTGCTGTGTTAACAATTCATCACTGCTCAATGCAGATAGCATTGACTGCAAGTCACTTTCACTTTGCTCTGGCAATTTATTCATAGGTAAACTTAAAGGATCTGCCGCTACATTTGTAAGAGTTACATTTCTCGAATTAGCGGCACTAAAGTACGACTCAATTTCGGAATTTTCAAAACTATATTCATCAGCTATAAATCCATAATCATTATTAGCATCCAATGCTTGGTATGATTGACATTCTGCGAAAGTTTCATTATCCGATGAGGTGGCCGTATCAGGTTCGATGTGTACTTGCAAGTTTTGATTTGGTTTGCTGTTGGACTCATCTAAAATAAAATAAATAAAAATAAAATATGTATTATATGGTTTGGATTATACAAAATTTCCGATTGGCAAACAAAATGTTGCATGATTTTTTCTATAGTAAATTTTTGAAAAAAAAAAACTCCAAAAAGATAATAAATTTTGTTCTCACCTTTTACTGGAACATTTTCACGATTCTCGTGCTCATTTATGGCAGCTGTTAATGTGGGTATAAGACCATCCTCAAATGTTAACTTTGCGCGATCTAAACGACAGAAACAATTGGGACATTACGTATTTTTCAATATTAGCAATGCTAGGGGTAGTTAAGACGTCGTTTATATGCTCTGTGCTAAATTTTGCTTTTTTTGTAATGTAGTGTTTTTGGCAATTGTTGAGGATATACATTTTGTATATACTAGACACAATTAAATATTACATATATTTACACATAATATATATTCTACAATGTTGAGATCCATGATGCTCCAAAACTGAGACTAGCTTAGAACCTGGAGTATATATCGAAGAAAATACGTAATATCCTCCCAATTATCTATCAGAACAGGTAGTATTCCTTGGTCCTCAACCATTTATAGCCCTCCCGATTTCGGTCATAGAAGCTACGTTAGAAACGGGGTGCATATCGTCGGTGATACTGCAAAACTATCACTTCCATCTATCCATGTCACTTATTACCCCTGGTGTTTAATTGATCTGTTATCTGCATCTGATCGCTTCTAGAAGCCGTTCAACTTCATCAGCCAAAGGTAGACAGTTTTGGAATTCGTTTATTATGGTGTAACGATTTACAAATGCATTCCGGTGCACGTACGTATGAAACCATCTAAGTATCCATGGTACTAATAGACATAGACCGTTTTGCAGTATCACCGACGATATATTGCTCAACCAATTTATTGTGGCACAAACACCTGACTGGGATCGGCATGGCAATCTTATTTGCCCTTATTTGCACTGAAGAGGATGATGAACACATTTGGTGTCTCTGCCACGTCTTTGTACTATGGGAAATTCGGTCGAATTACTGACCAAATGTCCAGTTTGGCATGCCAAGGGTTTAAATTATTTATTTTATTTTTTTTTGCAAAAACGTGGAAATGGGAATTAAAAAAAATAATGTTTTTTTTTAATTATTAACTTATTTTTCCATAATTAAAAATTGGTAAAATTTCCCATAGTGCTTTGCATGGGCTAGGCATGAGGCTTTTGGGAAACAGAAAACTGTGTTTTTTGAAACCCCAACTGCTATGATTTATTAGTACACCATGTAAATACATAGATTTAAAATAAATTCAAAGGGACATGACAACAGTACGATGGAAGTATAATTTCCTTAATACACTTTAACTGCTCCAGCTCCTGAATGATTCTGAATTTGGTAAAGTCAAAACAGATAATATTTTACGTTTCGGAGCGTAAATGCCAGCTAACACAATTTCCGCAATGCGCCAATTATTGTCTTAATTTAGCCCAATCGTGCGATTTCACAAAAAATTTACTCATCGGAAATCGAGGCCAATATTGTGCTTATTGTGCCCAAGCATACATAAACCGGGTGCGACAAAAATTGTATGAAATGAGGCAATGTGTGACTGCACATAATTTGATTGGGCCAATTTCTTTATTGTGCGCCAATTCAGCACAATAAAAATGTGGCAGATTGGTGCACTTGAGGCAGTCGTGTGATTCCTGCTTAAGATACCATAATATATTTATGTACATATCGTCAACATCAATGCAAAAACCATTTTTGACGAAAATTAAATTTTAGAAGCGAAGCAAAAAGCTTTTAAATTACATCAGATACCAATTTAAGTCTAACTTTTGTATTTTCATAAAAACTTACTCTGCTAGTAAACTAAAGGAATACTTATAAAACGCATTTCCAAAAAATTTAAAATATGGCCCATTTTGCCATACTTTTATATGTATGAGTTTTTTTCGAATGAAAAGTGTTAAGTGCACTTTTAGATTTTTCAAGTGTCTGCAAAACGGCACTTTTAACTAACTCTTCACTGGTTTACTAAAAGCTTCTACGAGTGACTTATTTGACGCTCGGCTGTTGCTTTATTGATACCGTGGCAAAGAAAATTAAAGTACTTCCCGCAAGACTTCACTTCCAACCGCATAGGCGATGAGTGTGCCTACCACTGCATTATCACAAGGTAATCATTATTATTTTTGTTATGTTTTGGGGTTTCTTACCTTCCGCATTGAAATTCAGTGCTGTGGGCATCTCTGATATTTTCGGCTCACTCAAATCCGTATGAACCTCTGCAAAATAAAGATGATATTCAGTCTCTTATAGGCGAAAATCCAATAAATCTATATATATTACATACCACTAGATTTATTAATTTTATCCACATTGCTGTCCGTTTTGAGCGCCACATTAGGGGGCATACCTAAAACCACCACTTTTGGCTCAATATCGCAGTGACCTTTCTCAGTGGTTATTATGTTAGCCGCAGGGGCATTATCAGCCACAGGTGCCATATCAGCTGATTTAAGAGCTGGCGATAGCGATTCCGATGGCAATGACTCTTGTGATTCTGTTGAAGATGTGCCTTTCAGATTTCCAGATTTCGAACAGATTGCATTGAACTATAAGGAAAGAAAAAAACACAAGTAAAATGTAAAAAACCAAAAAATCCAATGCCAGCAGCTAATATGTGAAGTTCACGTGTGAGTGGCCGTGAAGAAAATTTGAAAATGAACTACACAGCAGCAAAGCCAAGTGCAGCAGGAGTGCCGCCGCATCCTTCTCGAATTTTACTTGCGCTGTACTGCGCCTTTGGCAGTGAAATGTATAAATATAAAATTGGGTGCAATCGCATGGGCATGTGGCAGACATACAAAAATTGTTGCAAAGGAAAAAATCTAATTCGAATTCAAAACACTAACAAACAACAACAGGTGATGCACAAGCTTCTACGCAAGAAGACATTTTCTATTAAAATATGAATTTGCGCCGTGTGTGCCTGTTTTGCCGGTTGCCAAGCGTTTGCAGCCGCCAAAGTGAATGGCAGTGTTGATGGGATAGTATGTACATAGAAATATTAATGTGGACTTATATGAATGTACATATATTTGTACATATGACGTGCATGTTGGTGCAGTGAACTGTTATACCGCCACCGATATCTTTGAATCTAAAATACGGCGCAATTTGTGTGTTGTCCATTAGTTTTTGTTGCACGTTTTAGCCGTTTGTAAATTTATACATACATATTTTTGTTTTTATGCAAATTTCAAATTGTATTTCGTGTGATTTTCACAGACAGTGGGCTAACATACAACCAACTCTAGTAGTTCAATTCACTACGCCTAGGTCTGGGATAAGGCAGGTGCCGCTCGCATTTTCTTTGTGCCGTCACTCATTTCGTTACACTTTTGTGGCCCAATCTGTGGTTTTCTGCAGCAAAATGCAATTAGTTCAACGTAATGTGCTAGTTTAATACATACATACATACACCTGCGTTCAACTAATTAGAAACGAAATTCAAAATGATATGGTTTGCAATTATGTTAATTTTTTTATATTTAATAATTTTCATTTAAAATGTACATAATTCAATCTGTAACAGAAACCACAATAATAAAAGTTAAACAGCTTGCAAAAATTGTAAGAAAATTAATCAATGTTCAAAAAATTGCCATCAGAATTTCCAAATTTTTAAACAGAATATTTGAAAAATTTTCGGGTATGCAGTTCTGTAGCCCATTCAATTGTAGTCTAAGATAGTGCAATTCTCGTCGTTAAAAAGTTAAGTTAAAAGTCGTTAAGAGTTACCATTGCTTTTTATATAATTTTGCAGTTGTGCATTTTTTTCCATATAACACATGATCAAACTTTTGTTTTTTTTTTATATGAAAAATAATCCGCAACACCCTCCACAAAAAAAAAATATAAAAAACTACGGTAATTTTTAAGGACTTGAGACTGGCACTTTCTTAGACTACAATTGAATGGGCTACAGAACTGCATACCCGAAAATTTTCTAAACTAGCCCAGTAAAAATAGACTTTTCCTTAAAAAAAATTTGTAACAGCAATTTTTTGATGCAGTTTACTTCTATTTGACACGTAGATCATGGATCCACAGTCTTGCCCCTAAATTTAATTTGGCAACATTCCGCCATCTTGGTTTTAAGTTTTTTTTTTTTGGTTTTTTGTGATTTTCATGCTTATTTTGCATTTTTAGTAAAACTTTTTCGCAGTTTTTTGCTAATTTTTTACAATAAACAATTCTATTTGCAAAAAACCTTCTATATAACAAATGTGGGTGATTAAATTCTCAACATATTTGTATTTAACCATGTTTTACTAAAAATGCAAAATAAGCTTGAAAATCGCAAAAAACCAAAATAAAACTTAAATCCAAGATGGCGGAATGTAGCCAAATTAAATACAGGGGCAAGACTGTGGATCCATGATATACGTGGCAAATAGAAGTAAACTGCATCAAAAAATCGCTGACCCAAATTTTTTTTCAAATTTCCTACCAACTTTGTCTAATTTTACTGGGCTAAAATATTCTGATTTAAAATTTGGAAATTTTTATGACAATTTTTTGAATTTTATAAACTTCTTCTGCAATTTTTGCAAGCTTTGAAACATTTATTATTGTGGTTTCTGTTCAGATTGAATTATAATTTAAATGAAAATCATTAAAAATAAAAAATAAACATAATTTGCAAACAATATGATTTTTAATTTCGTTTCTAATTAGTTGAACGCAGGTGAATGTATGTATGTATGTATGTATGTATGTAGTGCGGTGCGGACGTTGCGACCGTGTGTTGACGGCGGCCCATACACAATCGGATACAACTGTACGAATTGCATTTTGTTGGCTTTATCCGCACAATGCGACAAGTGAGCGGCCAGCAGAATCTCCTTTCTTTTCATTTGCATATTTATTTGATTTTTCTTTTTCGGTTTTTTATTGGGTTCTACTAAATACTGTAGGCTTATTGCGGTTAACGTGGGAAAATGTACTAGAAATTCAATTAGCAAAAACGAGACAAGGTTAAAGTCACACAAAGCATTTGCATGCATAGGCAGTGTACTCACGTAAGTACATAAACATAAATACATTGACATATGTATTCATATATTTATGAAAATCTTTGCCGGCATCATTGGCCAACGGCACAAAGGAATTAGGTCGAATCGATATCGGACAAGCACACATGGATTGAAGGGATATTGTTCTAGTTTAGTTTGCGCTAAATGCTGGTAAAAAATGATGAAATAAAAAGTTGGAAAACAAAAAATTTAAATACATTTCATACAAACCAGTAAAACTTCCAGGATTTTCGAGTATTTTTTAGCTATTGCAAAAGAGGTGAAAAATGCTCAGATTGTTGCTGTCCAAAAAAAAAAAACAAAAAAAAAAAACGGAGTACATTTAATACACATTGAAAGTACTCACCTTCAAAAATGAATATGTCTGCCCTCAGTTAAGCTATTAGGTAAAATTAAAAATAATTAAAACACAGATACTTCGGTTTCATGCCAACGATAAAACTCAAATAGCTGCGCTTAGCTCTGAAACTTAAACAATGCAAAGAAACTCCATTTTTCAAAACAAAAAAAAAAAAAAACTTGTACAGTTAGTTCGAAATGATTAACTGGTTAAAAAGTTAACTATTTAATACAAATTAGTATTAGATTTAGCAACTTTGACAATCTGACATGGCTCTAAGCCTTCTATTCACAGAGTGAACTAAGTTCCGGGTAATATTTTGTTGTATATTCTCTCATATATCCTAAAGGGCACTTTTACGGTCTCTCTTGCTCCTGATTTGCCGCTCGCGTAATTTTGATTCCTTATATACCCACTACTGTTCAGTAGATAGCAACAACATATAAAAAAAGGAAATTATGAAAAACCAGAAGGAAGTGGCAGACCAAAGAAAATATATACATCACGTGTAGAGGGAATTGCTCAATTTATTAAGGAAGATCCAATACAATCCGCAGTAGCTAT